GTTTTAAGACACTAAGTTTGGGGATGGTTTGTTACATGGTAATAGATAAGCAAAATACCAACTACAGATTATTTGAGACTAAAGAGTAATAAGGGAAGAGACCTACCATAAACCTACTGAAGGCGGTGGGGTGATAATTATCAGTGGCTAACAAGTCCGTTTACCTAGCACTGCCACATTCTGTCTTTCTTCCTCGACACTCAATTTTACATAGCTGCAACTATTATCATTTTTATGACAGCCTTGTTTTGCATGATATTACTTATCACATTTTTATATGTTATACATAGTTTGAATAAAGTACTGCAGGGGTAAGAAGAGCCAGATCAGAGTAGAAATACCAAGTTGAACAGTTGGCATAAATTGCTGCTTGGGCCCTCTATAAATGACCACGGCAGGAGAGAGTAGTCTAGGCAAGAGACGGATGCAAAGAAGGATTGCAGAAATGGTCTCAGCTTTAATCAGGGAAAAGAGTGTATGACTACAAGGGAAATAGCATGCTAGACTTTCAACAACATAGAAGGAGGAAGTTATTAACCAAAGAGCCATGACCTTGAAGTTAAAGTCTCTGGGGGAACAGAAATTAGAAGGGCTACAAGGACAACAGGCAGAGAGAAAGAAAACACCATTAGATTACATATAATCTATAATATATGAAGAATTCTTATAGAAAGAAATAAGCAACACAGTAGAAATTAACAAGGATCTGAATAGGAAACTCACAGGAAAAAAAATATAAACAACCAATAACCATACACAATACGCTAAGAATCACCAATAATCAGGGAACAATTAGTTGTTTTTCTCACAACTCGAAAGAGTTCTTACTAGTCAGCAATGAAGAGACTGGGAAAGTATGACCTCTGATAGATGGTGATGAGAGTATAAAATGATACAGTTACTTTAGAGAGAATTCAGAAATATTTATCAAATGTTAAAATATGCATAATACCCCCTTTGGCCCAGAAGAAATCTATCCTGTAGAAACACTCCCATACGTACAGAAATATATGTATACGTTGTTGTTTAGTCTCTAAATCATGCCCGACTCTTTACAACCCCCTGGATACGTAGCTGCCCAGGCTCCTCTTTACATGGGATCCTCTGTCCATGGGATGCTCCAGGTAAGAACACTGGAGTGTGTTGCCATTTTTTCCTCACAGAGATCTTTCTGACCCAAGGATCGAACCCCTGTCTCCTGTGTCTCCTGCATTGCAGGTAGATTCTTTACCACTGAGACACCTGGGTAGCTATATATATAACAAACATATATATATAACGAATACATATATAACATAATATATATAACAAAAATTATATATTTAACAAAAATATTCACTGCAGCATGTTTCTCCCCAACCAGCATGATAGCTTCATGAGAGTGGGCACTTTGTCCTTCAGTCCTGTATTGTCAGAACTAGATCACTTTCTGAAACATAGAAGATACTCAACAGACATTTATTGAATAAATGAATGGGACTGAACATTGGAAACTAATTTTGTATCAGTAGGAAATATTTACATCCACCCTACAGAGTACTATTAGCTGTTAGGTGGTGCTAGTGGTAAAGAACCTGCCTTCCAATGCAGGAGACATAAGAAATGGGGATTTAATCCCTGGGTCCGTGAGATCCCCTAGAGGAGGGCATGACAATCCACTCTAGTATTCTTGCCTGAAGAATCCCATGGACAGAGGAACCTGGTGGACTACAGTCCATAGGGTCACAAAAGAGTCAGACATGACTGCAGTGACTTAACCTGCACAACCTATGTGTAGTGACACTGAAAGATCTCCGGGACCAATTATGAATTAAAAGAAAATAATGATAATTACAGTAGAAAAATTTTTTCATCATTGAAGGATTGATTTAGTGGATTGTGATTTAAATAAATCAAATCTTAGGCACCTAAGTTTTTCGGTATTTGCTTTTACTTTTATTTGGATTTTTTTTTTTTTTTTTTTTGCAGCATTTATTCCCAGGCCATGGTTTTTGTTTCTTCAGTTTCTTCTGGGATCTCTTTCTTCTGTGCAGCCTCCTCTTCTGATTTAGGGCTTCCTTGGTGGATCAGACAGTAAAACGTCTGCCTACAATGCGGGAGACCCGGGTTTGATCCCTGGCTTGGGAAGATTAGGAATAATCTGTTCCTTTCCAGTGAGGATCATCTCAGTGTGACCGGGAGAGCTCATGCATGGGTTGATCCAACCATGAGCTCTGCATCCTGCACCAACAGCAAATGGTTTTCAGAGGTCGCCTTTAGGCCGGTTATGGAAAAGGAACATCTATTTTGATGCTGGCCTTGGTCCATGTTTATTATCATCGAAACATGTCTGTGACATTGCACTTCCCTCAAAGATAGCATGTTGAACGTTTAGAACATATCAGGATTTTTCCTCTTAATTCTCATCATTCCCCCCATGTGGTAGGTACTGACGTTCCATTTCACAGCTAAGAACACTGAAGCTCAAAGAAAGTAAGTAATTTGCCCACTTACACTGTGACAGAGACAGGATTTAAACCCAGTGTGACTCCAGAGTTCCTGCTTTTAAACTACCCAAGGATAAAGTGACCGTATGTTCTGATTAAGGCCAGAATAATTATGAATAGTGTCCCCTTTGTTTCCAAAAAGTTTCAGACAGTCAATGCATTATGGTCCCTCTACCTACAGAACCTACATAGGTAGCAGAGTGTTAAGAGTTCAGTTTCTGGAGCCAAATTTGGGGCAGTTTGCTCAAATTCTCCAATTCAGTTTGCTTACATATAATATGGAGATAGCACAAGTAATGCCTCAGATAGTTGTCAAAGTGCTAAATATTTGGTTTAACATTTTTTAAGTGCCTGGCACACAGGAAGTACCAGATTAATTATTAACCTGCTTACACAAAGTATGTGTGTATGTGTATTGAGAGATATCTGGAAAGATGTTCAAAAAATAGTAACAAGATATCCCCATTAATATTTTAAATATATATATGCATTCACCAAAGGATGTGTCTTTTTGACATTGTGTGTTTTGAATACTGAGCATGTATCTAACATTGAGTAAGCATCCTGACAAGCACTAAAAAGCCACCTGATCTCTATGGCATCCTGCTTGCTATATGGATGTGAACACCCCAAAGATGATCAAACAACAGCAATTTAAAGACTATTAAATTAAGCAAAAATAAAATGATCGCTCTTATCATTACCATTTCAGATTGTGTATCACTTGATTTGAGCTTCCGGGGTAGCTCAGCTGGTAAGGAATTAGCCTGCAACGCAGGAGGCCCCGGTTTGATTCTTGGGTGGGGAAGATCCGCTGGAGAAGGGATAGGCTACCCACTCCTGTATTCAGGGGCTTCCTTGGTGGCTCTGATGGTAAAGAATCCACCTGCAACGTGGGAGACCTGGGTTCGATCCCTGGGTTGGGAAGATGCTCTGGAGGAGGGCATGGCAACCCACTCCAGTATTCTTACTTGGAGAATCCCCAGGGACAGGGGAGCCTGGCGGGCTACAGTCTATGGGGTCACAAAAGGTCGGACACGAATGAGCGACTAAACACAGCACAGCACATCATTTGATTTAATTGATATGTTAAATGAAATCTAAAGGAATGGATCAACTTCTACATTTTCTCTCAATTAACTAATTGTAAGTGAAACACTTGAGACCTAGGCAATCTTTGGACTAGAACAATTTGCAAGTAAGAAACTTCAGGGGCTGCGCTAGAACTTGAACTCCAGGGCACCCGCAGGGAGGCTTGGGGGAGGGGAAAGGGGGGGTCTCTCTGCCCATTTCCTCTCTCCCCCGCCCGGGGTCAAGTGTGTTAGGACGCAGAACTGATGTGAATCACATAGGTGGATATCGCAGCTAGCCTGCGCGCCTTTGGCAGAAAAGACAGCCAGCACCTTTTTACTCCCCAGGTTATTCTACTTCATGTACAATTTCAAAACTGAGTTTTCCGGGAGAAGCTAAGCCCTGGTAATGGAAGTCAGGAAATCGGTTCACTTTGGGGGGAGATTAGTGGCTAGCTGGGATAGGGCCGGAGAAACCTTCACGAAAGTTTCCATAGACGGTGTTCCCAGGGTCTCTACCGATTCATAAAGCAGATGCACTTTCGCGGCTGCTAGAATCTTAATTTTTAACCTTGCTGTTACTTTGTTTTCTGTCGTTACTGGGAGCTCTGGTCACATTCATTTCAGGGCGCACAAGGAGAATCTCGGGGCTGGTATATTAATGAATGAAATGAACGTCGGTGATCCGGCCCTCCAGACACACTGTCCTCCCCCGACCCCAGGCTCCGCAAACCACTTAATCCAGTGTCATCTGCAACACTTCGGGGACTTGGGAGGCAAGAGATGGCGAACAGAAACCCCGCGCAAAGTAGAGAATGCCAGCAACTCACCTGCCTCCCGTTGACCTTCTGTACCAGTCGCCGGGCGGTGAGCGCCCGGGGTTGGGGGGGGGATACTCCTGCCAGGTACAACCAGCTGCTGCGGCTGCCCGCCATCCGCCTCCTCCCTTCCCTGGGCCTGGCCAGGCCGGGGGGCAAATGACTTGGCGGGCACCTCCCCTCACTTGGACCCACTGGGGCAGGGCCGGCTCACCTGGGCACAGCCATGGGTCCCAGATAGGTGGGTACTCTGCTCACCCCTCCCCCCCCCTTACCAGGGAGATGTGGGGGGGGGGTGCTGCGGCCCCAAATGGAAGGCCAGGCTCAGGGCGTCTCGGACAAGTCCCACCCGCCGAGCGGACGCGCCAGGAGCCGCGCGCTCTCAGCGGGCTCCCTGGGACCACCGGCAGCCCGCACCTCTAGCGAGTGGCGCGCGCAAACGCGAGCCGGACTGCTTACTCGGCACAGCCCGGCGGGCTCTCAGCTGACTCGGGACAGTAGATGCCTTGTTGCCAGCAAATCCAGACGGCTGCCGTTCGGAGCGCGGGGTCCAGCTGTGCCCAGCGCGCCCCGCCCCGTCCCCACCGCGCGTGGGACCCCGCGGGGCGCCTAAGACGCCCACTCACCTGGCACCCGGCTGGATCTGCTGGGTGTAGTCGTCGCATCGCTCCTGGATGATTTTCTGAAAATCGGCGGTGCTGCCTCTCCCGTGCCACCTGTTGAGCCCGGAGTGGTGCCACTTGTAGATTCCGATCGCCCCCCCGGTGATCCCCGCCACCAGGAGGCACAAAAGAACGAAGCAGCAGAGCTTCCTCTGGGTGCCGCAGTCACCCATGGAGTCGGATGCGGGTCGCCGGGACCAACTTGGAGAAGAGGCTGCTGGGGTCCAAGCGGCCGGGGAGGAGAGCCTTAGCCCGGTTCTCAAACTGCACTTCCCCTTTAGCGCTCGCTCGCCTTTTCTCTCGCTTCCTTTCCTGCTCCTCCCCCCTCCTTCGAAGTCCCTCGGTGGCGATCGCTCGACCAATAAGGATCTCACGGTCTTAAAAAGCCTTCAGCCATTCACTTCCTAGATGGCCAGAGTGAACATCGACAGTTTAGGAATCAGCGAACTAAAATGGACTGGATTAGATACATGGATTATATTCTTTGCAGCCAAAGACGGAGAAGCTCTATACAGTAAGCAAAAACAAGACCGGGAGTTGACTGTGGCTCATATCATGAACTCATCATTGCCAAATGCAGACTTAAATCGAAGAAAGTAGGGAAAACCCCTAGACCATTCAGGTATGACGTAAATCAAATCGCTTATGATTATACAGTGAAAGGGACAAATAGATTCAAGGGGTGAGATCTGATAGGAAGGGTGCCTGAAGAACTATGGATGGAGGTTCATGACATTGTACAGAAGGCAGTGATCAAGACCAGCCCCAAGAAAAAGAAATGCAAAAAGGCAAAATGGTTGTCTGAGGAGGCCTTACAAATAGCTGAGAAAAGAAGAGAAGCATAAGGCAAAGGAGAAAAGGAAAGATATACCCATTTAAATGCAGAGTTCCAAACAATAGCAAGAAGAGATAAGAAAGCCTTCCTCAGTGATCAGTGCAAAGAAATAGAGGAAAACAATAGAATGAGAAAGACTAGAGATCTCTTCAAGAAAATTAGAGATACCAAGGGAACATTTCATGCAAAGATGGGCACAATAAAGGACAGAAACGGTATGGACCTAACAGAAGCAGAAGATATTAAGAAGAGGTGGCAAGAACACACAGAAGAACTGTACAAATAAGATCTTCATGACCCAGATAACCACGATGGTGTGATCACTCACCTAGAGCCAGACATCCTGGAATGTGAAGTCAAGTGGGCCTTAGAAAGCATCACTATGAACAAAGCTAGTGGAGGTGATGGAATTCCAGTTGAGCTATTTCAAATCCTGAATGATGATGCTGTGAAAGTGCTGCACTCAATATGTCAGCAAATTTGGAAAACTCAGCAATGGCCACAGGACTGGAAAAGGTCAGTTTTCTTTCCAATCCCAAAGAAAGGCAATGTCAAAGAATATTCAAACTACTGCACAATTGCACTCATCTTACACACTAGCAAAGTAATGCTCAAAATTCTCCAAGCCAGGCTTCAAAAGTACCTGAACCATGAGCTTCCAGATGTTCAAGCTGGTTTTAGAAAAGGCCAACTATTTCTGCTTTACTGACCATGCCAAAGCCTTTGACTGTGTGGATCACAACAAACTGGAAAATTCTGAAAGAGATGTCAATACCAGACTGCCTGACCTGCCTCCTGAGAAATCTGTGTGCAGGTCAAAAAGAAACAGTTAGAACTGGACATAGTACAACAGACAGGTTCCAAATCTGGAAAGGAGTGCATCAAGGCTGTATATTGTCACACTGCTTATTTAACTTATATGCAGAGTACATCATGAGAAATGCCGGCCTGGATGAAGCACAAGCTGGAATTAAGACTGCCAGGAAAAATATCAATAACCTCAGATGTGCAGATGACACCACCCTATGGCAGAAAGTGAAGAGGAACTAAAGAGCTTCTTGGTGAAAGTGAAAGAGGAGAATGAAACATTTGACTTAAAACTCAACATTCAGAAAACTAAGATCATGACATCTGGTCCCATCTCTTAATGGCAAATAGATGGGGAAACAGTGGAAACAGTGACAGACTTTATTTTTTGGGGCTCCAAAATCACTGCAGATGGTGATTGCAGCCATGAAATTACAAGATGCTTGCTCCTTGGAAGGAAAGTTATGACCAACCTAGACAGCATATTAAAAAGCAGAGGCATTACTTTGTCAACAAAGATTTGCCTAGTCAAGGCTAAGGTTTTTCCAGTAGTCATGTATGGATGTGAGAGTTGGACAGTGAAGAAAGCTGAGTGCCAAAGAACTGATGCTTTTGAACTGTGGTGCTCAATATTCATTGGAAGGAATGAATGGCCAATACTTTGGCCACCTGATGTGAAGAACTGACTCATTTGAAAAGACCCTGATGCTGGGAAAGATTGAAGGTAGGAGAAGAAGGGGACGACAGAGGATGAGATCGTTGGATGGCATCACTGTCTCAGTGGACATGAGTTTGGGTAAGCTTTGAGAGCTGGTGATGGACAGGGAGGCCTGGCTGCTACAGTCCATGGGGTCGCAAAGAATCAGATATGACTGAGCAACTGAACTGAACTGAACTGAACTGTTCACTTCCAGAGCAGAGGGAGCCAGGCTCCACATCTTCAGGGAGAAGCCACCACTTTGTCTTTACTTGTTGTTCAGTTGCTTAGTCGAGACTCTTTGCGATCCCGTGAACTGCAGCCCACCAGGCTCTGCTGTCCATGGATTTTTCCAGGCAAGTGGGTTACCATTTCCTTTCTCTGGAGAATCTTCTCCACCCAGGGATCAAACCGGCCTCTTCTGCATTGACAGGTGGATTGTTCACCACTGAGCCACCTGGGAAGCTCTTGACCTTACTGGCAGATGCTCAAAGAACAGACAATATAACTATACACCTTGGTTGGCTCCCTTTCCCAAGCTGAACTTGACACAAAGTGACTGTCTGCCTCCCAGCCTGTGTGCGTGCAATGCCTACCTCTGCTTATCGTTTTGAGAAACACCTGCTCAGCCTCCTGTAAAGGCTCTGCTTAAGCCTTCTCTCCAGCGGCATCAGTGTAAGTTCTGGCTGGGTGCTGTGGGGTAAGTCACTTGACCTCTTTGTGCTTCAGATGTAAAGTGAGCACCATAGTCATATGACTTTTCGGGGTTGTTATGAGGATTGAGTGAGCTCGTTATTACCAAGGGCTTCCCTGGTGGCTCAGATGGTGAAGAATCTGCCTGCAACGTGGGAGACCTGGGTTCGACCCCTGGGTTGGGATCCTCTGGAGTAGGGAATGGCTACCTACTCCAGTATTCTTGCCTGGAGAATTCCATGGGCAGGGAAGCCTGCCACAGAGGAGCCTGGCAGGCTATAGTCCGTGGGGTCGCAAAGACATGACTGAGCGACTTTCACTTCACTTCTTCACGTACCAAGTGTTTAGCTAGGCACATGATAAGCACTCACCTACTCCCTGAGGCTGTCGACAGGATGCAGTTCTGTAACCCATGTGGTGCTGCTTGGATCATGCCTGGCATGTGTCTGGCATGCAGTAAGTACTCAAAGTAATGATTCAGTAAATAATCCAATGGCTTTTCCCAGCACCCACTGCATTGCCTCTCTCAAGGTTCTACACTAGGAGCATCTCTGATATTTCAGCAGACACCTAAGGAAAGTGATTTCCGGGGGCAAAAAATTTCCATACAGTGTAGAGAGCAGGTGCCAATACCCTGAGGCAGGAAAACTCCAGAAGGTAGTGGAGGACGAGGAGCCTGGTGTGTGTCCATGGGATTGCAAAGAGTGAGACACGCGTTAGTGACTGAACAACAAGAAAGGCTCTTGGTCTGTTATGCAGGGCTGAGGGAGGAAGATCAGGAGAGAAGTTCAGAGGGTAGGAGGAAGGCGGGCCACCTATGGGCCTGCAGCACAAACGAAGGACTTTTGGGACTGTGGATTTTATTTTTAACCTATTTAAGGTCACTGAGTGACCTGATCAGATATGACACTTTAAAGGTTCCGTCTGGCTTCTGTATTGAGAATAAATTGTAGGAAAGTAAAGATAGAAAGGTGGACACCCGTTATGATGACTGTAACCAGGAGAGTAACAGCGGAAGCAGCAAAGAAAAAAAAGGAAGTTGCATTCCTGATGTAGTTTGAAAGCAGAAGCATGGGAATTCACTTATGAGTTGGATGTAGGGTTTTCCAGAAAGAGGGGAGTCTAAGATGACTCCAGTAATTTTGGTCTGAGTAACTGACCAGAGAAAGGACAGAATTGCCATGTACAGCGAAAGGAAAACTGGGGGTGAAATAGATTTGGTTTTGGGGGGGAAAGGCATGAAGCAAGAATTTGGCTTCAGAGGTGTTAAGTTTGAGATGCCTGTTAGACTGCGAGAGCAGACACCAAGTGACTGATGGGACATAAACATTTGGCAAGCAGGCCAGGGTTAGTCCTGGAGACATAGGTATGGACACAGACAGTTGCTGTTGTTGTTTTATCTGATTCACATCTTAGCCATTTGTAACGCGTTAGAACTTTTGTTTATGCATTTATTTTGCCTGTGCTGGGTCTTTGCTGTGCGGGCTTGCAGACAGCGGGGCTACTCCCTAGCTGCAGTGCGCAGGCTTCTCCTTGCTGTGACCCCTCTTGTGCAGAGCACAGGCTCTAGGTACATGTGCTTAGTTGCAGCATGCCAGCTTAGTAGTTGCAGCTTCCAGGCTTAGTTGCCCCGTAGCATGGGGCATCTTCCCAGACCAGGGATTAAACCCAAGCTCTTCCCTGATACTGGGTCTTCACAGATGCCATCACCTCTTCACCCCCCTCCCCACCCCTGCTCCCATCCCCAGCCAACGCCTCCTGATTTCCTTCAATGTGACTTTCTCTGGAAGCCTTTCCTGACCCCATGGAGCTCACAAACTGGGTTAGGTCTCCAAGCTGTATACTTTCCTAGCAGAAGAACACAGATGCCAGTGACCATAGAGCCCCAAATCTCTGGTCTGGACCACCTAGACCAGGAATACGTCCTCTGAGAATTTCTTCAAGATGTCCTCTTCAACTGGACCAGAGTTTGCTTGAGGCTGGGTCTGCAGGAATAGTAGCTCATTCTCTCAGTATCCTGGGACTCAAGTTGGTGTCCACAACTGCTGGTTGAATGAATAGATGAATGAATCACAGACCAGAGTCTTATTTCTGGCCCCTGCTACCCCATCCTTTCCAAACTAGATTCAGAGGGTTACTTTTGCAATCTCAGATCTACGTGAAATAGTATGAATATGGGGTGAAAAAAGTTGGTCTTGACCGAGGTTCATTTCCCTGATCTCTGACCTTGTGCTCTGCCTTCCTCCACTCCCTTCTCCTG